TATATATATATATATATATATATTTATGTATGTGTGTGTGTATCTGGAGCGTGTAACAAAAGTAATTTCCCTCTGGGATTATTAAAGTATTTCTGATAAGTTCCAGTATCAACATTAATGCCTCTAAGGTTATGTTGTACCTGTCTTTCTTTCAATCTCAGTGTTTTTCATGAATTTATTATAGAAGCACTTTTGTTATTGTTTTTTATATATTCGTGCAAGTTGACATTTCTTGTTATTACATTGACACTCATTTTTGCCATCAAAATAACCATATTTTTTAATGTTACAAAGGTAATAAAGTCTTGTCCTGGTTTCCAATAACGCTATTGGCTTGAAATTTAGATTTTCAAAATATTTCACTGAGTGCCCTATAAGTGGGGTTTGAAAAAACTTTCAGTACACTCTCCACAAAAACGTCCACTTCCAGTCAAACTCTCTCCAATGCTGACTCCCAGTTCCCTTGTGACAGGAAGTGCAAATGTTCTCTGATGTTTCGTCCTTTAGAATAACATCCAATTCTGTCTCCCATTGATATTTAATATAACGAGGGTCATCTGACATGTCCATTATTAGTTTTTTATATTACCTTTTCTACTTTAAATGTACTGTAAATGTGATTTATTTTTGTAGGCTTGTCATCTGTATTTTTGCTTTTCTTCTTAGGTCAACCTACTCTCAGTTCGCCCCAGAGGGGATCCTAGCTAACATCTTGGGGATCCTGCTGGTGTCCTATGGAGTTGCTCTGGTTTACTTGATAACCAAGGATGAGTACAGACGCCCCCCAAACCCAGAAGAAGAGGCGCTGTCTGTCCACTTTAAGAACCTGACTGAGGGTGGGGAACCAACAAGCCCCTGAAGCTGTGACTCCAGGAGCTGCCATATAATGAAAGGCAGATATTGACAATAGCTTTAATTTATGTGAAGTGTGAAATGATGGACCTGTAACGGTTCCCTCTTCTGCAAACAAACCTTTTTTTCTCCCCACTGCTCTCCTAGCTATCTTCCCTTACCTAAAATATTTATCTAAGTCAAAGTAATACAGTAAACAAAATATTTTTTTAATATTTTGATGTATTAGTAGATTAACCAAATCACATTTATATAATCTCTTAAAAGAGCTGAAGGAAATTTGATTCCAATTTGATTTTCACTAATTTCTACATAAAATCATATGAGCTCTAATAACTCTGCCGTCCAGACCTTCATCTGACCTGAATGTCAGTGAATTAATTGGATCACCAAACATAAAGCTTGAACATGTATTATTTTTCACGCTACAATAAGTATTTCTTTATGACAATTGGAAAGAGAAATATTTAAAATAATGTGAAAACTTCTCTTTCTATGGTGACTTAAAGTGTTATAGAGATCTAAGCTTGCCAAGTGCAGTTTTTAAACCATGTTGATTGTTCTTTCAGTTTCCACTTATTTCTGGCCCTGATGACTGCATTCCAGAGAGAAGTCTTAAAATTCTGTCATTTATTTTACTCAGTAGATGTGTTTTTTTCAAATGTATCACACCAGGGCTAAACTGATTTATATTACTGTTTTATGTTTTTGAAGCTGAGTGTAACAATGCCAAATTTCTATTGCTGAATGTTCTGCTTTATATTAACCGTTAAAAAAGTAAGTCTCACTGAAATAAAATGTGTTTGAAATGGCTTTACGAAACATCTGTAAGTTTTATTCCCTGTTTAGAATAATGCCCATGCAGAATTGCAATCAACATGTTTTTTTTTAATTCTGAGATTAAAGTTATTCTAATTTGTTTCACATTTCCAGCATTTTATACTGATTTGCATTTAAAGCCATCTAAGTTTAATCTCCACTACAGCTCAAAAATGTATTAATTTGGAAATTACTTCGTATTAACACATTTATATTCAGTTATATATGATGATTAAGTTACCTAAATCTAAATTTCTCAATTTACATAAAAGAGACTGGAAAAGATCTTGCAGCAATCTCTTCTTGGATGAGCATGTATCACAGTATTTCTGAGTTGCTAAAACACATTTTTTGAAAATTTCTCTCGCTTTCCCAAAACCTTAAACAAATCACCAAACTTAAGCTACACTGTCAAAACCTTTGACTTGTCTTGCTATATCAAACAATTGCTTTAGAACTATGTCATCTTTACCCAAAACTAAACACTGTTTTTAGATATCACACACATCCAGCTAATGCATAAACACTACACAGCAGTCATTACACACTACAGAGATAAATGCAAAACACTGCACTCAAAGCAGAGCAGGGGAAAAATTAGATTTATTACGAAGTACTTGCACAATCTTGCACACAAATATAGTCACAAACAAAATATGCAGCAGAT